TGGGGCAACGGGAAACGACTACAGCAGGAAGGAGGAAGACGGGCAGAGAGCCCCATGCACACAATGCTCTCAACCGTTTCAGAAAGAACTGAGAATTTGGGCTGCAAAGGTGGTGTTTCTCTCACCATCTCCCTTTTGGATCCCCCTGGGCTGCGCATCAACCTCCCCAAGTTCCAATCAGATGCACACACTTAGTAAAGACACAGAGAGGTCCTCACCTGCCCAGGCAGCCCATTGCTACCTTTTCTCAAGCAGAGGTGAGATCTGTCTTCTTTGACAGGGATGCCTCCTCCACAATTCATTCAGGAAACACCTGTCCATGAAGCAAGGATGCTTGATGCAGCACTGGGGAAATAGCACTCAAACCCAAAGCCAGGTCATGTCTAAAGACTGTTTCTTAAATTGTTGGAACCCCTGTACTGGATCCATTTGATGCTATTACAGATCCAGAGTAAGGGCCCCCCACCACCCACCTCTGGCAGACAGAATCAAAATCTCTGCAGCTGGGGCTGAGGTTTCCCTGCAAGCCCCCTGGGTGATCTGCGAGCACACTCAGGGTTGAGGACCACCAGTTCAAGTTGTGAGGCAGCAGCAACACATTGCAGTAAGTGGACAGGTGCTCTGCGTTTCAGAGGAACATAGAGCATCAATGGCTAAGCCAACCTCTGACAATGCCTTTGAGTTCAAAAGATGCCAAGTGCTTTCTAAAGGAAGCTGACCTGCAGTGGGAGAGAGGTTGGTTATGCAGGGTTTATTGAACAAGGCAGAAGAGCAGGAGAAAGTGTGGGTCACAGAGGCACAGCCATCACCTGGACCCTGCACTGATGCAGAGAAATCAGCATCAAGTCTCCTGTTAGGTTCTGAATCCATCAGAAAGTAATGCCTGAAGTCAGCACCACCGTGAGACTTCTCACAACTCCAGCTACTGCTGGGAGACACAAGTCTGGGGACGTAATTCTCTATCTTTGTCTCAGGATGGCATCGGCAGGCAGGCTACAGTTTAACCAATTTATCTTCAGTTTATGGAGGAAGGGAGGCCTGGCGTTCTCTCCTGGTCTGTCACTCACTGAGTGACTAATTGTGAAACTTCTCTGACTGCAATATTCTCATCTGCAAGACCAGAATAATCACCAAGAATGAAATGGAGCTGCATGTACCTCCCAGGATGAGGCAATGAGAAGGATATAAATTCATTTCTCTGGCATTTCTATCCAGAATGCAAAACCCGAATCAGTCTGGTAGAACTCCAACCCAAAAGACTGCCCATAAAATAGCTGTCTCACACTTCATAAAAATGCTCCAGAAGATAAAGACTGAAGAACTGTTCCAGATCAGTGGAGACCAAAGGGACATGACAATAAATACATGATCCTGAATAGGCTAGCAGGCTGAAGAGAAAACAGCCATAAAATACTTCACTGGGACAAGGGATGAAATACAAGGATACACTGTGAATGTGATGACAATGTTACACCAGTGTTCCATTTCCTGGTTTTTCTAGATGTACTGTAGTTAAGTAAGGGAATAATTGTTTTTTCCTTAAATACTGACTGAATACTTACGGGCAAAGAGAGGTGGTGTCCCCAAGATCCCCACAAAGCCGGGCGTGGTGGTGCATGCCTGTAATCCCAGCACTTGGGAGGCTGAGGCAGGAGGATCGGTGTGAGTTCGAGACCAGCCTGGGCTACAAAGTAAGCTCAAGGCCAGCCTGAACTGCATAGCGAGACCCTGTCTTAAAAAGATAATAAATAAATAAAAAAGATCCCCACAAGTGTTCAGAAAAAGTGTAAGAATTCTTTCAATTATTCTTGCAATTTCTCTATGACTGAAATTGTATCAAAAAACATGATCTGGAAAAAAAAAAGGAAAATGAAGAAAAGATATAGGAACTTCTAAAGTTGGGGACATCAAAGAAATGGGACAGCTAAATACAAGGTGGCTGACATTCCCTAATTGGATCCTGGAGCAAAGAGGAGCGTTCATGGAAAACCTGGTAACATCCAAGAGAAGTTTGCAGTTAATTAATATACTGGGGCAATGTTCAGGGTTCATTTCTTCTGTTTATTCCCCTTGGTACTGGGAATTAAACCAAAGGGCCTTTGCCCTTTGTGCTGAGCTATGTTCCAGTTCTTTTTATTCTTTATTTTGTGACAGAATCTCACTAAGTTGCCAATGCTGGATTCACACTTGAGATCTTCCTGCTTCAGCCTCCTGAAGTGCTGAGATTGGAGGTGTGCACCTCCCTGCCGAGTTTGACAATGTTTATTTCTTAGTTTGAAAAGCTTCAGGGAAATTGATGAAGTTAACATTAGAGGAAACTGAGACAAAAGAATAAATGTAAAGGTATACAATCTTTGCAGTTTTCTGCAAATGTAGTTATTCCACAGTCAAAACATTATTTTAAAAAATTACTGACACACATGCACACACACACATACAGCAAAGGTTCTTCCCAAAAGCAGAGAGCTTCTCTAGCATTTATAATGTCCTGAGATTTAATCCCCAGCACTGCCAAAAGAAAAGAGAAGAGAGTACCTTAAAGTTGTGGTTCTCAAATTCCACTAACCATGATTGAATCAAAAACTAAATAGTTCATCAGAATCACTCAATTAGATTCTCTTGGAACAGAACCACCAAGAGCAATTATTTAAACAAGTGCCTAAGGCAATTCTGATGAGCGCCCAGGCTGGGACACCAGGTACCCAGTTAAGCCCCTCAGACTAAGCTATGCACAGGGATTCCCCTGGAATCTTGTTAAAAATTAGCTCTGCATCAAGAGGCCTAGGTAAGACCTGAGATTTTGTATTTCCAATAAGCACTCACAGGGCTCAGGATGGCGGCATGTGTATGAAAGACCAGCTTCTGTCTTATAGAGGTCATGGTTTGCTTACAAAGTGTGATCAAATCAAATTTTTAAAAATATCTTACAGTAAAGGACACATTGCCATTAATCTCCCTCAAAATCCTCCCCCTACCTTTGAACTCACTTAGCCCACCATGCTTGCCACTTTCTGAAGCAGCTCTGGGGTCCTCTTTCATAAGTATCTTTAGTTGTGCTGTTAAAATTGCCTTGATGTCCTGAATGGATTCCAAATGTCGACCTTTTGTGGCCATTTAGACTCCAAGGAAAAGCCAGAAGTCACACAGTGCCAGACGAAGAGAATAAAGTGTATGAGAACACACCTCTTATTTTTATGAATCTGTCTTTCAGTTGGATGACACTGGACAGCAGCCTTCACCATATTGTTTTAATCACACCTCATAATGTCACTGAGAAAATTTAATCCTAACTTTATTTGTCTGAACCAAGTTTTGACATGTTTTAAGGTAAAATCTAACTAACAAGCTACACATCACATAGGGTATCTGTTGCTGGACAAATTGCATATGAAACTATTGGGTGTAACCCACTTTATGTGCAGATGTTGCTTCAAGAGTCATAAACAAAATGACCGCACAGATCAGTTTAAATGACAGCAAATTTGAGGGTCTGAGGATACCTTTTTTGGAAAACAATCCCTGTTATGGTTTGTGTCTAGATGTTCCCCCAAAACCTCATGCAGTCACTATGGGGAGGACTTTTCAGAGGTAGCTGAATCTAGACTATACGATGCTGGGATTAAGGGTGTATGATCGCTTCACTAATTGGTTTGGCAAAGCCCTAATCCCAAATAGCATAGACAGAATGTAAAATGGGTAGAAAGACACTGTTGAGGTCGCTTGTTATTTTTGCTATCTTCTGCTACCATGAATGGTTGTCAGTCTGCCATGTGGCACCCTGCTTTGGAGCCAGTGGGTTACGGACTGAAATCTCTACAAACTGTGAGCTAAATAAATCTTCTGTCCCTTAATTTTGACTGTACAGTATGTCAGAAAGGTTATTTTTATACTTACTTTACTGGCCTTTCCTCCCTTAATTTTGGTATTTGGTCTCAGCAATGAGAAATATAACCAAGACAATCCCCCAGATGTAACTTTTCTTACATTCAAGTTTTAGTTCAGCTAATTCTGGTTTGACCTCTGTAGTTTGTTTTAATGATTCCTTCGGATCCACAGTGGTCTTCAACCAGGCAATACAAACTGACCAGGAAAAAATTGTAAAGCACAATTATAAAGTAGTATTAACAACATAAAGGTTGGTGTTGCCATGGTATTCTAATTTTGTAAATGTGGAAAGCCATCTAGAATCCTGTATTATATGCTTTTTGAAACTGATAACAGCATATCAAGTCTTGACCCTTTTTTCCTTCAGTCATTTGCTCTAGAATGATGACAGTAAAGTAAGTATGAAAATAACCTTCCTGACACAAACTATAATCAAATAGTAATGAGAACCAGGCCGGGCAATTATCAAGATCCAAGCTAACGGATGCCCTTAGGGGTAAAATCATTCTTCTAAAATTCTTGCTATTTTTCATTTAATAAACATTTACTGAGGATGCATTACATGCCAGACAATATGCTAGACACATGGTAAATTGTACACTAATAATAAAACTACAACTGGCGGGGATCCAAGACTGAGCCCTTGATACTAATTTCATTATGAAGTTGTTAATATAAAAAAGTACCAGTGTACTTGTCAAATGCTTCTGCAAAAAAAAAAAAAAAAAAAAGGAAAGGGAAAAATAATTCAAAAACTTAAGTTTTTTTTCTCCTACATTTGAAAAAATCTGCATGTACTATATTCCTGGGGGTCCTGGAGGCAGGGCCAGGGTGGCCTCTACCATGTCAACTGCTCTATGTCCAATCATCTATCCCTCCCCTTTCCAACCTGCTTCAGACACAAACCCTGTACTGACACAGCCCAAGCCTATGCTGGAAGAGATAAAAAGGTCATCCATTGCCCCTGTATGAGATATAGAAATCAAACTACACGGTAACTATTGTTTTCAACACAGCCAGAAAGAGAGAAAGGGAGAAATGCCAAGTTTATATAAACATTCCAGGATAGAGAGGAAACAGAAAATAACCACACCAATGCCGTCTGCGTTACTAACCTGATCAATCTCCATGAGTTTGGGGAAGGCGCCCGGCCATTCTATGGCCACCTTGACAATGTCCACGGGTGGCGGCATGGTAAGCCCCAAAGAAGTCCAAAGCCAGTGGAATTTGGGATCCTGTGGCGTGGATGGTCACACGTGTCTACACCTAATGAGCAATGACAAAAAGAGAAAGAGAAGTCGCTCGGTGCAGATGCAGGGCGATTTTGCTTTATCACTTCCTGTTTGCACTGGTGGTTTGGGTACAAGAAACGCTCCCTTTGGCGCCTGGGTGTTGAAGGCGCCCAGGGGCTCAGCCAATGGCACCACAGGCTCCCTAGGAAAGAAGAACGCAGGAACCATGCAAACACCCTGGATTTAGAGTCCTGAGCATTCACCCTGTGCAAATTCTCTGCGGAAAACAGGCGGTACCTTTCCACAATTCTGCTCTGGATAGTGCCCTGGGTCTGAATGAGCAGCGATCACTCAGTCCGGACACCATGTGAACGCCTGGCCCCAGCAGCCTCCGGAAGGACAGATTGCCCAGGAAGTCAGGGGCAGGAAGCAGCTTTTATTTAAAGCATTCTCTGTGTGTCACAAATAGACCTCCATACTATGGCAACCAGGATATTATGAGGAAGGAAAAACCCCCCAAGCGTTCACACATATGCACACACCCTCTCTCCCCATGCCCAGGTCCCACAATGTGTCTTCCCGGCTGTGAGTATACACATGAGCATAGGTCCAGAGCACAGCTGCGATTCTCATTTAAACTAGTAGTGTGGCTCACACAAAGGAAGTAAGGATTATCCCATCCTGCCTCTCCTATTTCTGTAATTTAATTTTTTAAACAAGTAAAACCAGGAATCAAACTTCATGTACATGTGTGTACAAAGATGTGCAAGCTACAGCCTCTTCTCCCCACTATCACACACCCGCCTAATAACCACTTAGACCCTCCAGTCACCAATTATCCAAAGATCCAAAGTTATTAATATCTTATGCATCCCTCCAAAAGTCTTTCAGTATGGAAGCCAAACACAAAAATATATATTACATCTTCCTCTTTATAAAAAAAAAAAGCAACATTCTGTACCCTTTTTTTTTGGTACGGGGAATCAAACTCAGGACCTTGCACTTGCCAGGCAAATGCTGTGCCACTGAGCTGTGTTCCTGAACCTTCTATACACTTTTTCCCAACTTGTACTATCTACTACAGATTTGTAAGTTATTACAAATAGAGCATCCTCATTCTTTTTGCGGCTGTAAAACTAGCTCTCTGCTGTGGGTTGCTTCAATAATTCTTCCCTATGGCTTTCACAGGTAAGACTGTGTGAAGCATAATCTTCTGCATACATAATCCTGCACATGTGAAAGAGTATCCTTACAACACATTCACAGAAGTTCTTTTTTTTTTTTTTTTTTTTTTTTTTTTTTTTTTTTGGTTTTTCTCCGGTACTGGGAACCGAACTCACGACCTTGCGCTTGCCAGGCAGGCGCTTTGCCGCTGAGCTAAATCCCCAGCCCCTTCACAGAAGTTCTTAATACGTGGTCGTAAGCTTTGATAGCCATTTCCAAACATCCCATTGCATGGTGTCACCTCATACCCTCTCTCTCTCTCTAGCCATGTACAAGGTTGCCTATATATATGCAGCCTGGCTGACAGATGTAATTTTTGCAAGTCAGACTGGTTTAAAAGCATACATCCCAATGTATTTTCAACTTATATTTTTCTGATAGCAAGTGAGGATCAATGCAAACAGGAAAAGTCACAGTTACTCTCTCAGGAAGTGTCCAGATCTTTTGGTCCTTTCAACTGGATTGTTGGTCTGTAAACTGAAGTCTGTAAGATTTCAATCGAATATGTGCATCTGGTTCCTTGTCAGACTAGAAGAGTAAACCTTGTCGGTTTCTGTCCCAGATCTCAGTGACAGTTGGACATCACTGAGACACGACAGACAGCAGAGTTAATAATGGGAGCTTCCGCGCCAGCGATGCTTACATAAATAACTAACTTGGGCAGGGCTGGCAAGGAAAGGAAATGAACCCAAACAAAACTGCTGCTCCTTTCAGCCAAGGGTGGTTGGGGAAGGCTGCTAGGAGCTAATCAGTGAGAACCAGCAAGGGCAGATCTACAAAGAAGCAATTAAATCACTCCATCAACAAATAATTATTGAGCCTCTACTCTACACCAGGTCTGTTTTCTGTGCTGGGAAGACAGCAGCAAATGCAGAGTTTAAAATAGTCACAAGGGACACAGGGGAAAATAAAGTTGAGAAGGAGACTCTGCAGAACTTGAGTATGACAGTGTTTAGTGGGGTGAGAGAGCATGGCAGAAGTACAATTTGATACAAGACATGCAGGGAAAGCTTCACTGGGAAGGCAGCATTTGAGTAAGAACCTGAGAGCTGAGGAAGTGGCCCCGGTGGACAACTGGACAAGAGCAGACCAAGTGCAAAGGCCCTGAGGCAGGGATCTGCCTGGTCTGATTCTGAAATTGGCAAGTGGCCAAAGACAAGCAAGTGAAGGCAAGAGTTGTTAAGAGAAGCAATTCAGAGAGTGGTTGAGTGACAGCTTTTGGGATCATTCCCCATTCTCCCGAGCTCCGACACATTCTACCACAGCCCTTGGTGTGCGACTTCTAAGAACGACATTCACAGCCATGCACATCTACCAACAGCAGAAATTAGTGCCACTCTCCAGGGAGCCCTTGACAAACACCAAAACCATGAACATTCTGCATTCTATTTGAGTAAGTCAAATTTTTCTAGGATGGAATCCTCCAGACAGAATGACTTACTTCAGCATAACAGCACCAGTTGCTGTTTTGTTTGTAATTCCCCAAACTTAAACACAAGTGGCTGCTCAAGAAGAGGAACCTGTTCAGCACTGAGGGTGTCTCCAGTGTGCAGACACATACAAACAATGGGCTTCCTCTTCACAGTCTGTACCCTGTCTGAATGCTTGAAAACTTAAAGAACAAGGAACAATTCTACTAGTACCCCTTCAACTCCGGATCCACAGTCAGTTGTACCCCCAGGGATAGAAATTAACACAGCAGGCTCTAATGTGAACACAGACTGTGTGTATCAGATATGATCTTCAAAACAAAGAACACAGAGTGCTAGGGATCACAAGAATAGATAACAGAAATAAAAATGCATTCTGAGCACCTCCTCGTACCTGTACATAAAACACTCCTAAAATTACACCAGGAGAAGTCATCTTACCTTCTAGGAATCAAAAGCCAGGCTTGTTTTCCTATATCTCTGACTGATATTTATTTCTGGAAGTCCATTCAGGGAAAACTTGCTCGGCAGGTGAGAATACAATAGCGTGGCTGCCTTGGGACCCAGGAGAATAAGAGGCACCTGGCAGCCTGTACAAAGCAACCATTGAGGGAACAAGGAGGCTGGGATTCCCCCGAGATTCTCAACCTACTCAGTGGCTTTGCCACATTAACACTGTTAGCAGCAGGGCGGGGTGGCAGGGAGACTCACAGAGGTGCCCAGGACAGAATGAATAAGCCCGTCTCCTTCTGATTCCACTCCGTATCTTCTCGGATATACATTTCCACAAGGGAACGGTGAGCTCCAAAGGCTTCTAGCCACCATCCCTGTTGCTTCTGATGGAGTTTAATGGAGAAAGGTCCCACCTCAGGCACAATGCAATTCTGTGCATTATGGAGGGCGGACAGCATCTCCGGCCCCTTCCACCTCCTCCAGTCAAGACAGTGGAAACTCTCCAGTGACGCTGAGAGCTCACAGACGTCTGGGCAAGTTACTAATGGTCAGGGCTACACACCCCTGAATGATCACAGGGCAAATGGCCTCATTAGGCCCTAGTGCCTGCTCAGCCCAGACAGAAATGGAAATGAATCTTAATTTCTGCACCCAGAAAATTCGATCTCCTTGTGTCCTCTGCTTTCCCCAACAGAGCATTGGTGACACTTGATCTTGCAGTCAGCTTCTCCCCACTGTCCCTGGAGCACCGTAAGGGTTAGACTCCTATCTCACTCTGTGACACATCCTGGCACACATTTTAATGCATGATTGCTGGATAGTCATTCCCCACCAAGGCTAACTTCTCATTAGAGCTACAAGTGGTGGAACCGAATCTTGTGCTGTCAAAATCTCCCATGTAATTCTTAAATTCCCAGTAAATATAAGCTGCACGAACATGTGTGGACAGCCTACTATAACAATTCTTATACAAACTAAAATGTAAGAACCACTAAAGGCAGAAATAAAAGTGAAGATTATGCAGCTGGTTAGACATTCTAACCAGCATGGTTCTAAAATAGCTATCAAGTTCCCGGAAGTGCTGGGGAATAGGTGGAGAATTCTAAAATGTTCCTGCCTGCCTGCTGGTTTTACTTTATTCCACGTAATCTTCTCCTATCACCTTAATATGCATGTTCAATGGCTCACTTACATTTAAAAGAATTAAATGAGATAGGAGTCCCTCCCTATTTGGTTACTTACTAACCTGTGTGTATCAGTGACACAAGCCAGACCAAGTCCACCTTTCTGTTAACTGTCTCCTTGGCTTGCATCACATTCCCAAGACAAGGCAGAGAAATCTCTCCATTCCCGTCTGGAAATCCTCTCTCTCTTCACATTGTCCCATGCCCAAAGTGCTCCGTGTCTGCTTGTGTTTGAAGCTTATTTCATTGTGGTCTCTTAATGATTAGATCCATGTCTCCATGGCTTTCTATAAGTCAATTAGATCTTGGGTTCCAGAAAGTTCCCAAATTCCTAGGTCAATTTTTTTTTGTTTTTCCAAATTTCCTGCACAGTTTTGGTTTGGATGGCCTGCAACAGCTTTAAACCCCTTTTATCCCACTTTTAGTCTTTCTGTTGCCCCTGAAGCACTACACCAAAGGACAAGACCTGCAAGGTTGTGTCTGTGGAATCTGTGGGGGAAAGCTAACACGCTGGCCACCTCCTCCTGACCCCAGTGCAGTATAGGACCTGACAGAAGGGTCAGCAGAGGCCAAGCTGGATCACTGGGAAAGAAACACCGAACAGCTGAAGCAATGATTTGCTTCACCCCTCTGCCCCTTCCCTCCACCCTAGGAGAGGGGTCCTCTGCCTGTGAGCTGACATTATCTTTGGTGATGGATAACAGATTTACAACAACTATGAGAAGAGTGGGGAGGGGGATGTT